GCTGCTACGAACTGGAGACGCCCGACTCTCTTTACGGTTCGGTGCCCGTCATCTACGGCCACGGCACCGCTCACACCGGTGGCGCCTTCTGGTTGAATTCGGCGCAGACTTTCGTCGACGTCAACTACGACGGCGGCGATGTGAACGCTCTGTTCATGAGCGAGAGCGGCATCGTCGATCTGTTCGTGTTCCCCGGACCCACACTGCAGGCGGCCGTCCGACAGTACGGCATCCTCACTGGCACCGCTCCTCTGCCGCAAATCTTCAGCTTGGCTTACCACCAGAGCAGATACAGCTACTTCACGCAGACCGATTTGGAGTCGGTGGTGAAGCGACTCGACGATGCGGATTTCCCGGTCGACGTCCTCTGGCTGGACATCGATTACACCGATGCGAGGAAATACTTTACGTGGAATTACACGGCCTTTCCGCAGCCGGACAAGATGATCGCGAAATTGGATGATCAGGGAAGGCAGCTGGTCGTCATCATCGATCCGCACATCAAGGTGGAGAAAGGCTACAGGGTGTACGACGAAGCTCTCGAGAACGGATACTTCGTGAGGAACGTCAACGGTAGTGTGTTCGAGGGCGATTGCTGGCCCGGCCTCAGCAGTTACATCGACTTTACGAATCCTCACGCTCTCGATTGGTATTCCTCGTTGTATTCCTATGCGAAGTTTCCGCACGCCGCATCCAACGTGTACATTTGGAACGACATGAATGAGCCGTCCGTATTCAATTCGGACGAGAACACGATGCCCTCGAACGATGTGCTGCATTATGGCAACGCGAAACACAGGGACGTCCACAATTTGTACGGTTTCAAGCAGACGGAGGGCACGTTCAGAGGTTTGCTCGAGAGATCCGATTATAAGAGACGACCGTTCATCCTCACAAGGTCGCATTTCGCCGGTAGTCAAAGGTACAGCGCCATATGGACGGGTGATAACGTGGCTAGCTGGGAGCACCTTCGCATCAGCATCCCCATGTGTCTGACGGAAGCGTTGGCGGGCATCAGCTTCTGCGGCGCAGACGTCGGCGGTTTCGTCGAGAACCCTGACGAGGAACTGCTCATCCGCTGGTACCAGCTCGGTGCTTGGCTTCCGTTCTTCAGGGCGCACTCGGACATAAAGAGCACACGTCGTGAACCTTACCTGTACTCGGCCAAAACTCAGGCGATATTCCGCAAAGCGATCAAACAGAGATACGCCACCCTACCGACATGGTACACCATTTGGTACGAGCACGAAAAGCTCGGTGATCCGGTGATTCGACCACTCACCTACCACTATTCCGACGACGCTAAAACTCTGGACATCGACACCGAGTTCATGGTGGGTCGCGACATCCTCGTCATCCCCATCCTGGAGAAGAACCAGAAAGTTCTCGAGGCTTACGTGCCGGAGGGCGATTGGTACGAACCGGAGCGCCAATTGCTGTTCCGCGGAGGACACACGCATCCCGTCCAGGTGAACTCGAGCGATCCGCCGGTGGTGCTGCACCGCGCCGGCAGCATCCTCTTCAGAAAGGACAAATCGCGCAATTCCACCGCGCACATGATCGACGACCCAATTACATTGTACGTCTTTACGGACGAGCACGGTGAGGCATCTGGAAACCTCTACTTTGACGATTTCGTCGGCTACGAGTACAGAAACAGCGACACCTACTTTTACGCACGTTTCACATACAAGAACGGCTCTCTCGCTCAGCACAAGATCGACGCGCAAAGCTCTTTCCCGAAACCGGCGATAATCGACAAAATGTTCGTCTACTCCATTCCCACCGGCAAATCGACAAACAATAGCAAAGAGCAGGTCGTCTCCGTGCGTGAGATCAAAGTCAATTCCAAAATCAGCATGTAAATATTCCGACCACGATTGACAGTTGATAAATAAATTGATATGAATTAAATTGTTTGTTGTTTGTTGTTTTTACCTGCTTTTCGGTGACCTGTGCAGTTTTCGGTCCGACCGGTTGATTGAGGGCGACGGTCAAATTGATGACGCGACTCTTGATGTTCTCTGCATCTATCGACCACAAAGTCTGCTTGAGATCGGTCGTCTTGCGGCCTTCGTGAAAGTCGAGGAAGAACTTGGAGCTGGTGAAGAGAAGCGTGAACAGCTTGTCGACGTGCAGAGAGATCACCTCGTTCATCAGCTGCTTTCCCTTGTGCAGGGCCGAACACACGGGACTATCGAAACACACACATATCAACAATTAAACACAAACGTTCAAATAACAATAATATCATATGTGTGTGTATGTGTGAGAAAGAGAGAGTGAGAGTGTTAATTGATTGCGGACTCTTTTCATAATTATTAGTTCATAATTAAACGGGATAAACAAGTATCAATCGGTTCGCACGCAAAACAAAACAGGAAACGACGGCATGCTGCAAATACACACGGTTAAATCAATCAAATCAAGTCAAATTAATATTGAGAGCATGTCAATAGAAAGATAAATCTAATTGGAAACTGCTCTGCTTAAATAGAAAATACGCAAGTAAAACCGAAAATATTAATTAATTGGAAAGGTCTAAATCAGGTAAGTTTGTTTGTTTGCTATTTTCTTTTTTTTTTTTTAGATAAGATGAGGAGGAGTGAGTTGCCGTTTTTCAATCGATTGTGTAAATAATAAAATAATACGAGTAGTCAACGCGAATAGGTGCCAACAAAGTCACCTAAATTTGTACGCTTGTGTGTATTAATTAACGAACAATAACAATAATTGGCCGCAGCGGCGATTTCTCTCGCTCTCACTTTATGTATGCAGCATGTAGTTACGCAACATTGCGCAATAGAACGTGAAAGGAAGGAAGGAAGGAAGAAAAAGAAGTTGCTGTTGTTGTTAGTTTTGGTGGTGATCTGATCTGATCTGCATCGCAAGACTTACTATAGCTTCTCGTCACTGGATGAGCGACTCGGATCGCGGGGATGGTTCATGGGTTCATGGGAATTCGGGGTATCGGGGGGATCGAGTATCGGAGGATCATGGCTACATCTAGCAGGTGATAATGATTTAACGGTCCTGAAATAGCCAGAGAAAAGAAAAAAAAAACAGAACAGAACAGAAAGAATGAAAGAGAGATAATACCATCATCATATTATTAACGATGACTTCCTTCATCATCATCAACTACATCATTATCTTTGTTGTTGTTGTTGTTGTTGCCGAGGCAACAAACACTCACTTGTCTTTATCGTGATCCGATTCGGTGGTGTCCGAGAAATCCGTCGGCATCTGCTGACTGCTATGGCCGGCCACGTCCAGCTCCTGCTGGAAGATCTCGATAATTCCTCCTCCTCCTGTACCGTTCCCGTTTCCGTTCATGATCATCAAATCCTGCTGATTGGTTCTCGAATCTGAGGCGGATTGCGATTGGTTGTCGTCGTCCAGCTTGCTGTCCTCGAGGATCATCTGCTGGTCGTTGCCACCGGTACCGTCCGCGTTGCTCGCACACTCCTAAATACACGACGCACGCCACAAACACACACACACACATCAATTAGCACATCTAATCGCAATTGTGTTGTTGTCAGTTGTTGTGTCGATGATTCTCACCTCAGAGTAAGACTCTATTGACATTCTGCCGGAGAACTTTTCGTCTTCGGTGCCGGGCGCGATGTAATCCTCATCGTCGCTGGTCAAACCCAACTCTGCTCCGTACGAATCGTGAACCTGGAAATAGAGAGAGAGAAAAAGAAAACGATGATGATGATGAGCAAAAATCTGTCCAACTGAAGATGATTCGTGGATGAGGATTGTTGGACTTGATTCTCTTACGAGCTGCCACATCTCCTGCTGATTCATCGGTCTGTCCATGAGGGCGTTCTGCCAGACGCGAAAGAGCATCAAGTAGGTTTTGTCGCGCGCGACGAAACTCGTGAAGAAGAACTTGTCGTTTCTGGTCGCTATCAGAACGGCATTTGGAATGACGAGTGCAGTCTTCTCCTTGGTGATGGCAGTCACGTCCTTCCATTTCACCGAGACGCTCGTCTCCCAGCCGAAGATGTTTGCGTAGAACCGCAAATAGTTTTGTGAAACGTACAGCCGTCCCTGCACCAAGATCTCCTTTTGCAAGGCGCACGAATAATCTGCAAAGAAGAAATAAAACATGATTTTTTTACCTTTTGCAATGAAGATTATGTCCGTCCGTCCGTCCGTTCGTTAGCGTCGAATCTTGTGCAGATTACTTGTGCACCAAACAAACCACAAACAAGTAACGAATTTTACCAGTTTCAAAATTTATTTTCGTGCATTGGAATAATCGATTAGATAAAACATTATCAGCGCGCTCTTATCGCAACGAGACGAGACGAGACGAGACGAGAGGGTTATGATGATTCCGAACGAGTAAATGACGAGTAAACAGTCGTGTATATTCATTCGTTCGTGCGCGTTGCAATGTGTTTTCAATTATGCAAAGAACTTTGAGAGGAAATCAGTGGGTCTCGGTTCTTGCGTGTCCTTAAAGTACAGCATGATGGTGCCCTTCTGCTTCCAAAAGTTGACCGTCTCTTTCAGTTCCATCTGCCCTTTGATTACAAGCATATCGATGATGCGGACGTCGGTGACGTCGCGATGCTTGTCGAATTGCTCGCGCAACTTCAGCTTGCAGTCGTCCAGCGACTTGGCGATGTCGTACTTGTGCACCACGTACGGAAGCTGCCTGTACCAGGCCTTGTACAAGCTCACCACCCGACGTCGAGCCTCCTCACGACTCAACGACAGAATCGGTCGCGTCTTTTGCGCCACCGATCTGGATCTGCTGCACATCTCGCAATCAATCTCACTTTCTTCCTTACTTCTTCACTCACCAGACAGACGGACGGACGGACACCCGTCAAATCTTAATAATTTAAAAAGCGAATATACACGTTGCTAAGCAAACAGAGTAGAATTTCAAATTGATGCGTAATTATCTAAAATTATGTACGAACACGTAACATTAGATAGCGCGCTTCGTTTCATTTAATTTCAGTCGAAAAAAGGAGACTTTAACTGCTCGACACGTATAGTCGTTGGAGCGTGGAGCGATAAAGAAGCAACGATTAAGGGGGGGAAAAGAGAACATATTTTTCCGGTCAAATTGTGGTGACTTTTGAACCGTACGTACGTATACTACGTACCTACGACGAGCCTCTCGTCGTCCGGTGCATCCTTGAACGTCTGCTTGAAATCCTCGGATCTCGACTTGTACGTTGGATAGAGCACACTGAACCAGGCCGTCTTCTTCTTCGATTTGCCCTCCTTCTTGTTGTTGTTGTCCTTGGTCGAGCTGCCGCCGGTGCTTTCGCTCCTGTTGAAGTCGGGCGTCTGGAACTCGTTCACGCTGCTCCTGCCAGATGAAAGGCTGAAGTCGGCAAAAGGATTCTGCAATCCAAACACAATTAGTTGGATTTCGTTTGAACAACACAACAAACGTACTATAGGTGACAGATCATTCTTGTTGAAGAGCGGTGGCTCCTTGAAACTGGTGCTCAGATGTATCTCGCTCCTGGGAGAATGATCTCTTTTGGTTTGTGGCTTCGGTGAGGGCCTGGGGCTGCTGCGGGGACTCGAAGTGGGGCTGACAGATCTGCATATATGACATTAGATTATATTAATACACACTTGCTCAGTCAATCCAATCGGACTCACCTATTGTTATCACTGGACATGTTATGCGAGGACAGTGTCATCTTCATAACACTTAGCTCCTGGATATTGCGTTTGTTTGTTGGGAAAACGTTAAGTTGAACTTGCATCTTTTTTTATGTTTTATTTAATTTATTTATTTTTTTTTGTACTCACATGTTGGTGCATCTCGTTCGCAGAGTCCTTGCGGCCTTCCTCGCCTCACTCGCTACTTCTGCTCTATGCGAATCCCGGAAAACATCACCATCTCTCCTCGCTCTTCCTCGCCAATCGTCTAGCTGTCTGCCGCTGCTGTCACTGGCTGTCACAACAACAACTGACTGCTAATGACAAACACGAACAAATATTGTCGTCTAAACGATGACGGCTGTCAAAGTGCTTCTTGTTTCCTATTTGACAGGGGGACGACGACTGCTTCTCTTCACCGTCGAACGTAAACTAAAAAACCTTGAACAATTGTTTTACTGCTGCTGTTGCTACTGCTTTCAACAATAATTTTCCCCTCCAACTACTGACGAACGACTACTGTCTGCCCGCTTATCGCACGAAATATTTTTTCAAAAGGGGGCTCATTTAAAAAAAAAAGAAACATCGTTTACCTTATCGAATCCACGCGATTATCCATACATTCTTCCATGCGAACCACTTTTTCCTATACGAAAATACAAAAAGAAACATCAGAATTTGACGTTTGTTTCATTCAGCGGCGTCGGCGTCGTCGTCATTGACATTTCAAAATGTTTTTTTTTTCAACATTTTATTGATTGGACGTCGCTGTCAACGTCAATTTGAACATTGGCACCAATTTGCAATTTTTGAAATCGTAACGATATTATCTCAGATTAATCGAATTGAAGAAGGCATATTTTTTGGCGAGAATTGTTATGCGAAAATTGCAAAACGTCAGTTTGGTGAAAGTTATTGCGTTCAAGTTACGCACCGATTAATAAATATCTGTGCGATTCTATCACAGTTCTTCGTTTAAATAATTGTTTAAGAGAGAGATAGAGATAGATTTTGAATTTGGCGCGTCCGGTTGGTTGGTTTTGTTATGGTCAATGGTGCCAACGGGGAGAAATGTGGCGCGAGGAACGGCGACGTCGAAGTGCGTGCTTTTTGGTTGAAAACAATCGCGGCGCGAGGGTACGTCGGAGGTTTGCCGATGCGAGAGCGTGTGGCAACAGTGCGGACGACGACGAGTGGACGAGAGTGTGTGTGTGTCGGAGGAAGAGAGGAGAGAGACGCCATAAGTATAAGCGGCCGAATTGAAGAACAGCACCAAACAGAAGCAAGCGGCGAAGAAAAGCAACAAAAAAAAGCATAGAGAAACGCGAGTTTTGCGTTTTGTTTCCGAGTGACTCGCGGTGTTCGGTGTGATATGATAAGTGCAGTTTATGGTTGTTACTTCGGAGCGGATTATCGTTGTATTTCTGCCGCCCCTTTTGATCTCTCAACAGCACCGCCGCCGCCGCAGCAGCAGCAGCATCATCATTCGAAGCCGTGGACGACGTCCTCGAAGACTCTCGCAGTGTACAGTAGTAGCAGCAGCAGCAGTTGCATCAGAAGCACGCAACCACCAAAAGGATGCCGAAAGGTAAAATACAAAGTGCATCATCCGTCGTCGTCGTCGAATATGATAAGACATGTATCCTTTACGCTCTCTCTCTCACTCGCTCGCTCGCAAATACGTACGCATCAGTCCGTCTCTGTCGCACTCGCACGTTCTCCGGAAATTTCCGGATTCTATAAATACACACAAACACATACGCATCGGCTCTCACCAACCAAATACACATATGCAATTAAACTGAACGTGTATGCGTGCACATAAATGCGGAGTGACGGCAGAGGCAGAGGAGGCAGCATTTTCGCGTTTCCTTTTTCCCCCCTTTTTTCTTCTTTCCAATGTGACTTGTTTGTTTGTTGCCATCCTTTCTCACTGCACTCAAACGACCGACCCCCCTCCACCCTGCAACAATGATTTTAGCTTGCTTGTATTTTCGTTTGTACGTGCAATATTGTTGAACGGTGTAAAAAGATACACGTGAGAATGTTTGATTTTCCGGAAGTGCAGCACGCGATTTCTGTTATCCGTGGCATCATCTCGCATCGCATCATCGGATAACTCGCGCGCGCCAATTGGACGTGAGAGCTGGCGGCAGGTAAACAACAAAAACGATCATCATCTGCGAGAATTCAGAGATCTCTCGGATCATCTCATTTCAAGCGCAAATTAATGCTTACGTTCCAACAAGAAGAAACAAATGAAAAAAATGGAGGCAAAAATGTGGTGGTGATCATCTCTTTTGTTCTCGAACCCCTCGCGACCCTCGCTCTTTTTTTTTTTTTTTTGTTTGGCCGGTCACCGCCGCCGCTGCGAAAACAAGAAAGGCAGATCGGTTTGCCGCCTTTTTTCCCTCCCGTAACTGTAAACAAAGTGTATGTGTCGATGCATGCATAGTTACGTAATAACAATCACGGCCGCCTGTAGTTGTAATGTGCTTTCTTTTTTTATTTTTGCTGCTGCATTTTTAATTATATATATGTTTTATTTATTGTTGTTTCAGTTTTAATGCGGTGGTGAGATGAGCTCCGCATTGAAGCCACTGACCACGACGACGACAGCAGCATCGGGTCAGGTAATTCCCGCGCAGACAGCAGTCAGCAAACAGATGCATCCGCAGACAGGCCCTGGGCCTTACAGCCAGCAGATTCCACAGAATCTGGTCAACATGAACCCCAGTCAGGCGCACAACCTTTCCTCCCACAATCCGAATCCCCATCAGAACCATTACTCCCTGAACATACCCAGCTCATACCAGCAGGCGCCTCAGGCATCCAGCCACCCGGTGGCCAATCAGTCCCACATGACTGCAGTCTCCTACAGTCCACCCAAGAGTCAGGTGTACAACCAATCATATCAGATGCAGCACTCTGCCAACATCCCAGCCTCTCAGAGTCTGCCTGCCACTCAAACCCCAGAGGATGGTAAATCCCATCAAACCAATGGCAGCGCAGACTTTAAGCCCAAACCCAGCTACATGTTGGTGGGCGCCAATCAGGATAACAAGAAGGATGATGGCAAGGTGAAAGTGTCCCCAGAGAAGCAGCCTCCAGTGGAAGGTGCCAAACAGGAAGCAATAAAACAAACCATTGAGCCAGCTGAAGTCCCGCAGAACGTTTCTGCCACTCCCATGCAAAGGTATGCTAAATTAATTATACATATATATACATTTTTGTTCATTTCGTATTTATTTACGTTTGCAGCATTGCTATTGCAACAAATTCTCCCTGTGCACCTACGAGCACGACGTCTAACGATTCTTCGACAAACGTTGCCCAAGCGGCGACAGCTTCAAGTACAAACACTGTGTCCCAAACGCCAGGTCCCACCATAGTGCCTCCAGTTTCGTCCGTCGATTTGACGAAAAGCGAATCACCATCACCACCACCACCACAACAACAACAACAACCGCCGCCGCCGCCAACAGCAATAGCTGTCGCAGCAGTGGCAACAGCATCTGCACCAATACCTCAACAGCAAGAGCAGCAGCCGGCGGCAGTGGTGGCTGCGGAAGCGACGATGGTCGTCGTCGACGTTGCAAAGACGGATAGTTCAGCGAGCAACTCGCCCACCAGCACCGCAACGTCTTCCGGCTCAAACACACCGCCTGCCTCAACGAAACTCTCTGGTACAAGCACACCGCTATCTGCCTCAAAATCAGAAGATGCAACACCTCCACCAGCACAGCAAAAACAAGTTGATGATGAGCAGCAACAGCAGCAGCCATCGATAACGGAGAAGAAGCCGGCGGTAGCGCAGGAGGCGCAGAGCACAACGGCCGACGTGCCCGAGGTTGTGCCCACAAAACCGCAGAAGGAACCGACCATCGCCACGTCGTCCCCAACAAAACCGACGCCGTCTCCGATGAAATTGGCTACGACGCCGAGGACGCCAGCTCGAAAGACCAAATTGGCTAAGCAGCAGCAGCAGCAGGAAGAGTCTCCGAAGAGCTCGAAGACGTCAACATCGACTTCGTCTGCAAGCAACAAATCGCCGGGCGGCAAGGCGAAACGGATTCGTACCAGGACGCAGCCATACCAGAGTCCGTTGCCCGAGCTCGAGATCATTTCCAAAATGACCAACAACTCGACACCCAAATCGAAGAACATAGACGAGAAGCTAATCATCTTCTACAAGTAAGCATTCACTTTTAACATCATTATCATCTGATTGTTTTCGTTTTTATTTTTGCAGATATGAATTCTTGGCTGTGAGGAACCTTGAGGGAAGCTTCTACATTTGTCAGGCTGTGCAAAACGTTTATAAAAGTTCGCCGAAAATCCGGATCCGCTGGTTGTCGCAGGAGAAGGGCGAGAAATCTGGCGAGATCTACATACCTGACTTTTACGATACGACAGGTATAGTAGTAGTAATAGTAGCAGTATAAGAGTAATATGAATATTAACGGTATTGTTTTTTTTTCTTCTTCTTCAGATTTTGACTGTATATTGACCAATTTGAACTTGGAAAGAGTGGATAAGAGCAAATTTCGGCTGCCGCCTAAGGAGAAGGACCGCACCGACAACATCTTGAAGAGGGCGATCGCCGTTGAAAAGGGCGAAGCCACAAGTCTCGACGATTCCCTCACAGAGGACAATCCCGATGGCCGTAAGTAGATACGCCCACTTGTCCACTTATAGACCAGTAGAATTATCATCTGATCGTCGTCATCGTTTGTTTGCTTGCTTGCAGTGGATGTGTCTCTGTACAAAGATGAGGAGCAACTGAAGAAGAGGCGCGGCACGAAACGCAAATCGAACACGAAGCTGGATGCGACGCCCACCAGGTCGTCCTCATCGAAATCTTCGCCAGATGGCAGCAAACTGCGCAAGTTTTCGACGAGGACGAGCTCGTCGTCTGCTTCGAAGAGTAGAACAAATTTGCGAACTCCACCCACCAAGCGAACAACGTCCGAGAAGAAGGTGACGACGCCTTCGAGCGCCGGACGAGCGGAGCGCGCCAAAAGGAGGAGCGGTCAGGACTCTTCGACCTCCTCGACCAAGACAAGTCCCGTCGTGGATCACAAGAAGGCCAAGGTTTTGGCGAAGGTTGTCAAGAGGACGGCCGTCCTTCCTTCACCGAAACCCGCGACCACACCTAAAACTACCGCCGGTAAGATTTCGTTTTGATTCGATTTCGAAATACGCTGTTATTATTATTAGTATTAGTATTATTAATGCGCAATATATTAATTTCCAGTCGTGACAAAGTCTGTGAAACAACAGCAGCAGCAGCCAGCGGCGGTCGCGTCTACGTCAAAGGCCAAACAACCCCCCACGAAGGTGGTGACTCCGCCCACGCGCAGGACCAAACGAACAAGAAAATAGAAACGTCCCCCCCTTTGACGTCGTCGTCGCCGCCGCCTCCCACACGATTGATGTCGAGATGACGATGACGACAACCGGAAGTGTCCCGTATGTCCGTCCGTTGCTTCGCCAAAGACGACGACGACTACGCACGAAGACCGATGAACGGACGACGCATGTAATATATATTGACTATATATGTATATATATATATATTTGCGGTGAATTTACGGCATAATTTCTTTTCGCGCGTGGTTGGTTTCTCCAAATTTTACATATTTTCACACCTTGCATTTCTTTCTTTCGTCTCTCCCGTTTGTTTATCTCAAACTACCACCACCACCCACCCACCTGCCCTCCTTTATTTCGACCACAAAAGTAAAAGAAAAAAAAATTCGTTTGCGTCTCCTGCGAATTATGTAAATACAACAAGTTTCAATATTATAGATTCAGATAAAGAGACGACGTTGATTTAAATGATGGTTGGTTGGTTGGTTGGAAGAGTGAGAGAGAGAGAAGGGAGCGAAACAACAAATGATGGAAGAAAGAAATGAATGTCGGCGCGGACGGGACGGGGCTCGCGATTTGTTATTAATGTTTTCCCCTTTAATTTCTTTGAATCAAATGAATCACACACTCAAAAAAAAGAGATGAAACGCGTACAAAACAAAAATGAAACAAAGTTTATTCAATATATTATATATATACATACATACAAACGCGAAGAGTATGATGTAGAGGAGGACGAGGGGGAGAAGACGGTTTAGTTAGATAGATATTTCAAAATATTCAAGTTTTAAAATATTTTGAATTGGATTATTATTTGTTTTTTATTTCTTTTCTAATTACATTTTTTTTATTTTAAGTATATATATATATGTATATTGACGTAGCAGGCCGTGCCTCGTCCGCTCACCACACTCGCTCACACTCCAGCCCTCTTCTCTGCTCACAGCAAAGGTCTCATCTCTCTCTCTCTCTCTTCCAACCATATCAACATCAAGAGTGCCATTCATATTCTAACGCACAATATGCACCCTTCTCACACACACACACACACACATATATATGTATGTATGTAATATGTATAATTTGAAAAAGAACCTCTCAAACTCTTCGCACATTACATCTAACGAAGCTGATCCTTCTTAAGTTATGACTTGTTCATTTTGAAATTTGTGAATCAAGTGTGAGAGTGTTTAATAAAGGTTTTTTTGTTTTGTGTAAGAGAGAAGTTTGCAATTTGTAAGTGTGCGTGTGCAGTTCAAGTTGTTGTTGTTGTTTGAGGTGAGTGGTCTGTCAATTGTGCGAAAGGTCAATTCCAATAGCTCATTCAAATTATATATATATATATGTATGTATTACAAATGCACATTCATTTAATTATTAATTTTCTTATAAGAATTAGTTTTCCTTTTTTTTTGTTTTTTGTTTTGTTCTTAATAGTTTCTAGAGTTACTATATATTTCATTAGGCTTATGTTTTGTATTATATTTTGTTTTTCAAGGAAAGATACGCCTACTGCAATATATGTATATATACATACATACATACAAAGAGAGAGAGAGAGAGAGAACACATGTATGTACAGACATGTGAATCTGAAGACATTTGAGTGCATTTTTTCTTTGTTTGGGTGAGAGTGATGGTGCTGCTGAGGATGTGTGTGTGTGTGTGTGTGAAAATCCGGTACAGAATGGAAAAAAAAAGAGTCTATATATATATTAATTATAATTATTATTAATAATATTATTATTAAGAATACATTTCTTGCGACCAAGGTTACAAATTAGTTTTCCTTTAATTTCCCCATCAACCAACCAACCAACACCATTACCGCGCACGCACACACACACCACCACCACCTTATTGACCAGTTGCCTTGACTATAAGCATTTCTTTTATTTTACTTATCGCTGTTCTCTTGGTAACGTGTCTTCTGTTTACATTGTAGTCCAGGCAACGTCATCAACTATCTACCAAGTTGTATGTAATAATGACGATGTGATGTGATGTGTGAGGGCAAAACGAGGGCGTTAGAGTGAGGAAGGTGATGATGAGAACAAACCCTTCTCTCTCTCTGTGTTTATAATATTAATATGTAAATGGTTTTTACCTTTTTCTTTTCTATAGTAATATTAATGATAATAATAATAAAATTTAAAAGAAAATCCATTGAAAAATCTTACAAAAACGAAAGAATCATAAATATATATTTATTAGTTTAAGTAAACAAAAAAAAATATGTATTAAATAAGTATATATGTACATTCTTATATATATATATATCACTTTGCCACGCACGAGTAAATATTACTTCTTTTTGTTTTGTTCTGAGAGAATAAAATCCTATTTTTAAGATACTTTCAATTTCCTTTTTTTTTCACTGCATTTCTTATGAAAATAACAAAACAATGAAAAAAAATATTTATCATGGAATAACGATGCGGGCGATTGGTAATTGCGTAATTTTCAGCTTTTCTGTTTTTCAATTTCTACAGCTCGTAGCAGAAGACTCGATGATAACACGAAGATGTAAGTAGGCTCGTTGGAAAGGTGAGACATTCAGCTT